CTCTTACTCGCTCCTCCTCCTTCTCGTCCTTCCCATTCCTATCTCCTCCATCCTCTCCTTCTTATCCAGTCCCCATCGCCCCGTCATCCTTCTCGTCCCCCTCCTCCCTATTGCCCTTCCTCCTCCACCGCCGCTCTCCCCACCTCCTCCTCGTTCCTCTCCTCCTCCTCCTCCTCCTCCTCCTCCTCCTCCTCCTCCTCCTCCTCCTCCTCCCCCTCCTCCTCCTCCTCCTCTTCCTCCCCCCCACCTCCCCCGCCTCCCCCTTCCCGCCCGTTCCCTAAGGTGAAGGCGCTGCTCGGCGACGATGCTGCGCTCCAGATCGACCAGGGCGTCGCGGTCTTCCAGTCGAAGCGCACGGAGATGGTCGGCCGCATCCACGAGATCTACAGAGCCTCGCACCGCGAGCACGAGGAGGCGAAGAAGTGGTTCAACGGCGGTGGCTGCAGCGAGAAGGCGATGCAATTGCTCCTGGACGACATCCAGGCGGAGTCCGTCGCAGTGGTGGACCAGCCGGCGGCGCAGGCGCACGGCCCAGGCGGAGACGGCGGAGAGACGGTGGCGATGGATGGCGCTGAGCAGCAGCAGCAGCAGGAGGAGGCGGAGAAGGTCAAGACCCTCTTGAGAGTGCTCCAGCGGTCAAAGGCGGCGGACGAGATCGACAAGTTCGGACTGGACCACTTCTCGAGGAAGGAGTTGACGTGCCGCGTGCAGATCGAGCTCGACACCATGGCGAGGTCTGCCTACCTCAGCGCGAGCGGCGACGACGAGCTGATGGGCGACCTCGACAAGCTCGAGCTCAAGGAGGTCAGCACCGCGGCCAAGAAGCAGAAGGTGACCCTGCTGCGCACGGAGCCGATGTGCGACTCGAGCGTGGTGCTGAAGTTCTGGGGCAAGGCCATGGGGAGAGGGAGGATGGGGGTCCACGCCACCACCGCCACCAACAGGGGTGATGTCTGCAATTGCGTACACGATGGCATCGCGTACGCAATTGCAGACATCACCCCTGTGACGATGCGTCCCCGAGCGAGGGGGGCGACGCGGCCTAGAGTCTCGAGCTAGTCGTGGAAGCTGGGAAGTAGCGATGCCCCCTGATGGCGGCGGTGGCATTGCCACCCCTTCCCCCCCCTCCCCCCGACGGCCCCCCCCGAGGTAGTCAGCACGTCGGTGGCAAAGCTGATCAGACACTCGGACGTGCTGCCGCTGGCGTGCGAGAACGGCCCGAAGTTGTGGATCGACGGGTCGAACGTGCAGAACCCCAAGTGCGTGGACTATTGCGCAGCGTGGTCCATGAAGACGGCGACGCAGCAGCCAGCTGCGACGGAGACGGTGGCGCCGAAGAAAAAGGCCAAGAAGGACGAGAAGACCGTCACGCACGAGTTCGGCAGCGCGGAGCTCCCAGTGCAGGTGACCACGGCGAGCGGCCCCAAGACGTTCAAGTACAAGGTGCCCGTGCTGAAGGGCGTGAACTCGGAGCCAGCGCTGAGCCACGTCGGCGAGTGCTGCAAGCCCGAGTTCACGGACTGGGGCGACGAGGATAGCGACGCCGAGGACGGCGGCAAGCAGGACATCGGATGGAAAGCCATTGATGCAGACCCGACGGTCCGTGCTGAGTCGGCCAACGTCCGAGGTTTTGCGCATGCGAACTCAGGCGCAGCTTGAGGGCGCAGACGCAACTCCTCCGAGGCGGGCTGACTTGGCGCGGACTGTCGCATCTGTAGCAATGGCGCCTACTAGGACGGCAAGGGCAAGAAGAACAGCTCCTTCGTCCTCGGCTAGGCGGCGGAGGCGGTCGGCCTCCGCGCGCGGCGCGTGCCGCGGCCGCGGGCCGCGACGTCGTCGCCGACGTGGAGGAGGTGAAGAGAGGAGGAGGAGGAGGAGGAGGAGGAGGAGGAGGAGCAGGAGGAGAATGAGGAGGAGGAGGGGGAGGAGGAGGAGGAGGGGAGGAGGAGGAGGAGGAGGAGGAGGAGGAGGAGGAGGAGGAGGAGGAGGAGGAGGAGGAGTAGGAGGAGGAGAGGAGGAGTAGGCGGATGAGGAGAGGAGAAAGATGATGAGGAGGAGGAGGAGGACGCGGGGGGGGGGGACAGGGTGGTGGATAGAGGAGGGGGGGGGGCTGAGGATGCTACAGCTGATGGCGACGGTGGTGAAGGTGATGATGATGATGATGATGATGATGATGATGATGATGATGATGGTGATGATGATGATGATGATGATGGTGGTGATGATGATGATGATGATGATGAGGATGATGGTGATGGCGATGTATGGTGGTAATGGTGGTGGTGGCCCTTGGGGGAGATAGGCAAAGGATGGGGGGCATACCGATGATGAGGAGGAAAGCAGCTGAGACAGGAGGATATGGGCGAGTGCGGCGATGCAGATGAGCGGGAGGGAGGAATTATGAGGAGGAAGAGGGTGACAGGGAGGAGAATGCGGTAGAGGCGGGGAGGAGACGCGATGCACGGAGATAAATTGTTGAGGGGCGTGGGGCATTAACTACGGGGTAGGGCAGGCAGGGCGTAATTAGTAATCGGATGGAGATGGTGGACATGGGTAAAACCAGGTGGAGCTGGAGCAGGGTTAGCACTGTCGGCACTGGCACGAGCTGGTGTCGGATGAAGGCGCAGGGCAGTAGCATGCGAATAACGAGGGCGAGGAGGAAGAGCAGATGAAGAGGATTAGAAGGATGATGGGGATGAAGCAAGTGGGGGGAGGAGGAGGCGGCGGTGGGATAAGGATAACGAAAATGAGGGTGATCAGGAGGAGGGGGAGGAGGAGGCGGCGGAGGAGGAGGCCGGACAGACGGCCGAGCGTGTTCGGGCCGCCTCGGGAGCGCGAGGGAGTCGCCTCGAGGGCGCGCTCTGGACAAACGCCCTCCCCTCCGATCTCATCTCTTCGTCCTTGCTGTCGGCGTCGCATCCGCTGCCATCGTCGTTGCCGTTGCCGCTTATGGTACAATCGTTTCCGCGGATACCCCGCCCGACCACCGCGACCCCAGCAGGGTCTCCCAACGCCTAGCGCTCACGGAAAATGGGCACGGGCATAAGATACAGTGGGCCGCGGGCCGACAGAACAACGAAAACGCACATCACATTGAGACTTCCAATCATAATAAACAAGCTGCGCGTAGGGAACGATAATGCAACGCACGGTGGGGGCACCCACCAAACACAACCTTACTCACATGGTGTAGGTGAAAAAACATTAGTACGACAACGCCGCCGACATAAAACAAAAACAAGGAGGCATGTGGGTGGTGTGGGTTCGGCGCAGGGCGGGGGAGGTCCAAGCCTTGCGTTTGTGGGGGCCTGCGCAAGTGCATTGGTGCGCCTTATCTCTTGCACACAGCTTTGTCAGTATGGGCCGAAGGTTATAGATAAACAAGACATTGATTTGGCGACGGACCAATCCCTACGCACCCATGTGTAGGGTGCGCGCCGTGGGGCGATGCGGAAAGATGGTTGCTGCGGAGCACGCGTGAACGGGTGCGCTGAACTGCTTGTGGGGCACGTTGCGATTGAAGGGCCGCGCGAACACGCCAACTCAAGCCGCAGGTGGACCTCCAGGCACGACCCGTGCGAGGCATGTTCTGACATGGGCGGGGGGACGCCATGCAAAGCTGCACATTGGTGCCATATGTGGAGTTCCTTTTGGAGCACGAGTCGCGCGACAGGTGTGCCGACATGGGCGGGGGGCGCTGTGCAAACTTTGTCTCTGGGCCTTCAGGTGGCGCCCCTTGTGGGCACGATCCGCGTAATGGGGTCTGCAGCAGTGGCTGGCGGGGGGCGCGGTGCGAACCTTGCTTTTGGGGCCGTAGGTGGAGATCCTTGCGGGTCACGATCCGTGCGAGTGGCATGCCGAAACAATCGGGATGGCAGGATGCGAACCTTGTCTTTGGGGCCGTCCGTGGACCTCCTTGCGGGCCACGATCCGGGTGAGGGGTGTGCCGAAATGAGCAGGGAGAAGCCATGAAGCTTCCCTCTGGTGCCGCAGGTGCAGTTGCTTGCGGGGCACGATCCGCGTGAGGGGCGTGCCACCATGCAAACCTTGTTTCTGGTGACAAAGGTGGAGCTCCCCGTGGGGCGCGATCCCTGTGAGGGGTGTGCCGACATGGGTGGGAGGACGCTGAGCCAAGCCTTTCTCTGGGGCCGCAGGTGGTGCTCCCTGAGGAGCACGATCCGTGTGACAGTATATGCCTTCCAATGCCGAACACTCTAGACCACAACTAGAGCTTGGTAGAACCCAAGCGCGCGCGAAGCGCGCGCGTGGTCCTAGTGCGTGCTTCCATCTATGCATGCATGTATGCATACATGCATGCATGCATGCATACGCACATACAAACACATTTCTCAAGTTCCATGCAGGCGGACAGGCAGGGATGTTCCCCAAGGCGGTCACAGCTTTGAGCGTTGCCGAATGTTGCCCACGAAACGGAGGGGCCTTGCATGAGATTCCGATGTGCGGTTTGTTGGACGCACACCTCTGCGATTCACAATTATTTAGGTGATGCTTGTTGCCGCCCAGCTATCATTCACGTGCGATCTTTCTGTCATTGTCTCACAAGCGAAAAAACAATAAGAGCACTCATCGCAGGTTGCTGACTTTCTCCGATGGCAAATGGAGTTGTTAGCCACTGTGGTAGATACGCGCTTGCACAGTATTTGGTATATACGCACCTGCACAATATTCAGACACGTGCGGTCGCCCTACATAATGTGATTGCCCAGTGCTGCAAATCGAAGGGATGCGAAATGAAAGGGAACTCCTATAAATGGCTTAGGCTCCCAAGTCATGTCCTCAGTGCCATGCGATCTATGCGGCCTAGTATGTGCAACGGCTCAGCGAGGCCAGGTAGTGAAATATCGTTCTACGCCGACGATAAACGCACATTATCCTCTGCGCTCTACACGCGACATTGACGAAATGTGTGAGATTCGACTGCGCTTCATGTCGAGCTGTCAAAGCAGCCGTGCAATTCATTTGCCCACAGCCAAATTCAGGCTGAGCAGAAGACTGTCCGCGAAGATTTGATCTACCATGGCTTAGGGCGAATGCACAAGGGCATTTGGCCGATCTACAAGATCACAACGCTGAGGACCGGGTGCACACGTGCATTTGCTAACGCATACGTTTTGTGTACCATGGCCCGTGTGACAGAAATCACATAGAAGGTAGCTTGGTAGGCGCATTGTGGTTTGTCATGTTCTCACGATTGCAATGCGTCACGGTCGAAATTGATGATGTCAGACAGGCGAAGTGCTCGTTCATTTTGAGACAGCAGGTGGCTCGGTGGGGGCAAGTCATTATGAAGCAGCCAGTTGTGTCTAAAGGCGAAAGCACGTTGCTTCATTAGAGCCATGTGGTCATTCAGCCCACATGCATGTGCGCTTCTATGGGTCACGAAGATCGTGATGGATTTGCCGAGTTGAGGCTGCCTCGAGCCGCCTTGATGCGTCAGTCGAGAGCGCCTAGGGGCACATAGGCACGGAGTGCGTGAGGGGTGTGCCGAAATGGAGACCCTTGGAGCCGCCTGGAGCGTCCAGCTCAGGGCCATTTGGGATCCGTGGGTGTGCCGATCTCAGGCTACGTTACACGTGTGGAGCCCCAAATGAGGGCTTGTGGAGGTCCAGGTGTCACGAAATGTGGAAGGGGCGTACAGCAGTCGGACCCCCCAGGAGAATCCACGCGCAGATGCCCCGATGGGCCAGCGGAGAGCGCGAGGCCCCTCCCAACATGCATTGAGCATGTCATCTCCACCTTCCTCTCCGAACTCTGGCAACCAGGTCCTGTCAGACGCGACTCAGGCTGTAGTGCCCCCCCCCCCCCCGTTCTGCTCGTGCAGGGGGGAACGCCGAAGCGAGCCCGCATGGCGGGAGTCACGGCGGGTCCCCAATGGAAAGTGAGCACGCAGATCTTGCAATCAGAGAGTGTTCGGGGGCACGGTTTCGACACGGATCGGCACCAATCGTTGCAATTGTTCGTTTGGAGGCATATTGGTTTAAATTTGGGGGGGTAGGGGGGGGCGTCTTGACGTCGTTTGGGGAGTGTGGAGACTTTTCGTTTGCAGTGACGATGCCATTCGTTGCAGGTTGTTGCTTCTCGAGGGTCCTTCGCGAGGTCACCTGGAAGCCTCTTTTGGAGCCTCTCATTTAGCTTTCTTGAGTGCGCTTGAGCCTCTCTTGGGGCCTCTCGGAGGCCAGCTGAGGGTCCTGGGGCCCACGGGCCATGAAGCGCGCGAGGCGCGCACCGAAAAGAGGTTCCCCTGAGCCATCTTAGGGGGTCCGCGGGGGGCCCTGGGGCCCATGGGACACGAAGTGTGCGAGGGGTATGCCGAAGTAAGGCTCTCCTCAGCCGTGCTGAGGGGCCAGCCGAGGGCCTCTGGGAGTCCACGGGGCATGAAGTGCGTGAGGGATGCGCCGAATCCGGGCTCCACTGAGCCTGCTGGAGGGCACATCTAAGGCCTTCGGGAGGCACGTGAGGCACGAACTGTGTGAGGGGCGTGCCGAATTGAGGCTCTCATCAGCCAGGCAGGCTCCAAGGAGGGCTGTTGTGCTGCGCGCCCATATCCACTCCTCCTCGCCTCCGCCCTTCCAAAGAAGCCTGAGCAACTTTAGCAGGCAGCGCACTTCAGCAGAACTTTTGATTAGGTGACTGGCACCACAGTGTGCATTAGACGCTCGGCCATCGCCAGGTGTTTAGGGGGGGGCTTTACGCCCCCAGGTCGCGTTTAAGGGGCCCCGCGTTGTTGTGCTTTCGTTACCGAGGAGGAAAACAAAGAGGCTCTCGTCAGCCGTCTTGGAGGCCAGCTGAGTGTGTGATGCGTGTTGTGAATTGACGCCTCGGTAGCCCTGGGTGCGCGGATGCACTGCATTTTCACACGTCCCAGGAGACAGGAGGGGTGGAGTGCGCGGCGCCGTCCCTAGCATGCATTGCGCGTGCAAAATCAATTGTTCTGTCCAAACTCTGCGAAACCCTTCGCTGCTAGACACAGCAAATGCCGCCCTGCTTCTGCTACGCTCCCGCAGGGGCCCAGCCGAATCCAAGTGTTTCGCGCACTCCGCTGGCCCAGTTTGTATCATCCTTGCCATTTGCCCGCGTGCTCGCGGGCATCGGAAGCTGTTGGGTGGTGATCGATTCCCTGAGCGATCGTGAGAAGCTCGCCTGGAGGAGAGGCATTCGCCCGATAGATCGAGTGCAGAAGAAGCAACCGATCATATCTCGATGCATGCTTCCGCATCGAAGCCTGGACATACGAGCAAACACTTTCTGGGAGCGCAAAGGAACGCCCTCGCAGGAGCTATACACAGGTGGGCTTCCTTGTGAGTCACGGTCTGCGTGAAGCTGTGCCGAAATGATCTGGGGACGCGTGCGAACCCTGCCTCTGGGGCCGCGTGTGGAGCTCCCTACGTGCAAAGATCCTCGTGAGGGATGCGCCGAAATGAGCGGGGACACATGCGAACTTTCCCTTAGCTCCCTGTGGGGCACGATCCATGTGCGGGGTGCGTCGACTTGGGTGGGTGGACGCATGTGCGCACCATCTGGGGCCGTAGGCGGAGCTCCCCGTGGGGCACGATCCGTGTGAGAGGTGCGTGGAATGAAATGGACCGGTGGACGCATGCGGAGTTTCCCACCTGAGTTGTAGGTGGAGCTCCCGAGGGGGCACGGAACGTGTGAGTGGTGGGCCGAACCGGGTGGGGGTACGCATGCACATTGTTCTATAGAGGCCGCAGGCCGACGCTTCAAACGGTTACGCAACGTGTCAGTGGGACGCACGCAAATTTTCCCATATGAAGCCGTGGGTGAAGATTTTTATGGGGGGATCTTCGTGATGGTACGCCGAAATAGTTGGCGCCGCCATAGGGCTCTCCCATCAAGGCCGCATAAGGGGGTACGATCCTCATGAGGGGTGTACCGAAATGGACTGCGCCGCCATTGGTGCCGCAAGTGGAGCTCCCTATGTGGCAGCGGTCCTCGTGAGGGATGCGCCGAAATGGGTGGCTCCCCAGTGGGGCCGTAATCGGAACAGAGATCTCCGTGAGGGATGCGCCGAAATCGGGGCCGAGGCGCCATGCGCTAGCGCCCATGGAGACCGTTGCTGGTGTGCCGAGATGGGGGCAGGGGTGACATGCGCGGGGCACGAAACGTGTGAAGGGTGTATCGACATGGAGGCGGTGGTGTCATACGTCGGTCTCCACAGGCCGTAGGTGGAGCTCCCTAGCGTCACGAAACGTGTGGTGTGTGTGTGGGTGCCGAACTGGGGGCGATGGTGCCATATGTGCGTCGGCGCCCACTGAGACTGTAGGTGGAGCTCCCTTAAGGGGCACGAAACGTTTGAGGTGTGTTCGAAATGGCGACGATGGTGCTGTACGCCCGCGCCCACTGAGACCGCAGGTGGAGGCCCATAAGCTGCGCGAAACGTGTGAAGGGGCGTTCTGAAAGCGACATGGAGGAGGAGCAAGATGAGGAGGAGGAGGAGGAGGAGGAGATGGAGGAAGGGGAAGAGGAGGAAGAGGAGGAGGAGACACACGCATTGCGGGATCAAATCGAGGGTCCAATGTCCACAGGGGAGTTGGGGAACATTAGCTTGGCAACGGACACAACCCTACCCAGCTGCGAGCAGCGCAGGGCGTAACTCTCTCCTCACAGGCAGCACGCCACGAAACGGCTGGAGCTCGGTGCAGCACGGATGGTGGTCATAGTCGCAAACGAGGTTCGCAATCGACAAGTTGAATTTCCTACGGCGCGCGACACAACTTCGGATTCTGGGCCGCATTCCTTGACCCCTAAGACCCGAGGTGGAATTGGAGCTGTGCCGCCATGCGGATCCTCCCACTGGGTCCGTAGTTTTGAGCTTCCCATGGGGATAAGCATCAACCCTCGTGAGGAATGCCTATACTGGCGCGGTGCCGCCATGCGTCTGCGCCTATCGACTTCGTTCGTACGTGGAGCTCCCTATGGGGCAACGTTCCTCGTGAGGGGCTTGCTGCAGTTGGCGCTGTGCCGCCATGCGTCTGCACCAGCCGCAGGTGTCGCTCCTTCTGGGGCCACGATCCTCCTGAGGGGTGTGCCGAATCGGCGCGGTGACGCCACGCGTCTGCTCCCAGGTGGAGCTCCCTGCGGGGCCACGATCCTCGTGAGCGATGGGCCGAAACTGGCGCGGTGCCGCCATGCGTCTGCTCCCATGGAGACGGCAGGTTGAGTTCTTTGCGGGGCCACGATCACTGCGAGTGGTGTGCTGGAATTTGCACGGTGCCGCTATACGCTTGCGCACTACGAAGCCATGATCTCCGTAAGCGATGTGCCGAAATTGGTGCGATGTTGGCATCCGTCTGCGCCTACTAGGGCCGTGGGAGGAGCTCACGATGGGGCCACGATCCTGGTGAGGAGTGCACCGACAATGGCGCGGTATTGCCATGCGTCTGCGCCCACCGAGACCGTTGGTGGAGGTTCTCATGGAACCACGAATTAATGAGCGTTGTGCCAACATGGGCACATGGTGGGCAACGGTATCGAGGACTAGTTTCCACAGGAGGGCTGGGAATTTTCTCTGTGGGTTGTCGGGGCACCCTGGGAGACCTGCCGGGGTCCGTGAAAGGATTCTGGGGGGGTGGGTACCGTGGGGTGTCTCAGGCGCTTCTTGTGGCCTCTTGGGGGCTGTCTTGGGCAATGTTGGGCAACCGTTGGGGCATCTTGGGGCCAGCTTGGTGAGAGAGTGTGGTTCTCATGAGGCCCGCCGCCCTCGTGGAGTCCTCATGGAGCCCACTTGTCGGATCTCGGGGCCCTCTTAGGGTCTGTGGGGCCTTTTTGGGGCCCTCTGGGGCCAATTTGGGCCCGAGAAGCCAATTGGAGCTCGCAAGGGTGAGAACCCCATGCTCATCGAATGCCGAGTGTGTTGTTTCAAGTGCTGCTTGCTTCTTGAAGTTCTCCCAGGCCAAATGCGCAGGCCGTCTTGATCAGCGTATGCAGTCAATCTGGCTGTCTTGGACCATCTGTGACCACCTTGGTGGGCCATTGTTAGGCAAGCCTTGTGCCCAACTGAACACCCACTGACTTTTTCCGTAGCCATTTTGGCTCAAGCCACCGTGGCTCAGGACCGTTCTTGGTTCGAGGAGCTGCGCAGGCCACCTTCACCTTCGATTTGTTTCGACAGTCCCGCGCAGGTCGGCGCAATGGAGAAGGCGATCCGTCGCATCGGCATAATTTCTCGGTCTGTTCAAGGCCCAGTTATCTGCGGTGCAGCAGCAATGAGTATGTCACGAGCGTCCTCCACAGAGTCATCAGCGTTCTACAACCTGTCTGCAAAAAACATCGATGGTGACGAAGTTGCGTTTGATCGTTTTCGTGGGAAGGTGGTACTAATCGGCAACGTCGCTAGCAGATGAGGCTTTACGCAGACCCATTACAAAGAGCTGATTCAGATGAGCAAGGATGCTGGCTCTGAGGGTCTAGTGATTATGGCATTTCCATGCAACCAGTTTGGAGGACAAGAGCCCGGTAGCAATGCTGATATCAAAGCGTTCGCTACCAAGCTAGGCGTTCCCGACAATGACAGCTTCATGATGATGAACAAGGTTGACGTTAACGGCCGTGGTACTCATCCAGTTTACCAATTCTTGAAGGCTGCCACCGCAGACAGCAGTGACATCAAATGGAATTTCGCATCGTATTGGCTCGTCGACAGGTACGGCTCTGTACAGCGATTAAAAGGTGCTGGCACGACGCCTAAGAAGTCTGCAGAGAAGGTGGCAGCTGCCCTGTCTGCCGAGTAAAAAGTTGGGTGCTGCCGGAGTGATCTCACATCCAGGCGATTTGGGACAACAGGGTGCAGTTGGTTGACATGCATCGCAGTACAATGACGTCAAGGTCATGGGTATCTTTCCAACCCATCGCTTCTAGTGGAAATTCCTGTAGCATGTTGCCGGCATGCCGTTGTCCTCATCTTTTTCTACCTTGGAGAGCCAATAGCCCTGGATCTCGCAGGACAAAAAAAAAAACTGAACACCCACTGACTTTTGCTTTTCGGCCGCTGCGGGAGCCTCTTGAGGCTCTCTTGGTGCCTTCCTGGGGCCCTCTCTGGGCTCCGCCACCTGGGGCTCAATGATGATGTGTATGCTGATGATGCTGCTGGTGAGGAGGCTGGTGACAGTGATTTGCGGGTGGTAATGATGGCAGTGAATGATGAAGATGTTGATGCTGATGTTGCTGATGACGATTATGACGATGGGAGATGGTGATGATGGTGGTGATGGTGGTGATGATTGTAGTAGGGGTGGTGATGACGACAGTAACGATGACAATGACGATGATGATTGGTGATTATGACGGTGTTGATGGTCATGTGGTTGATGATGGTAGTGATGACATTGATGAGTATGGTAACAATGTTGACAGCTACAGTGATGATGATGACGACGATGATGACGATTATATTGAACACGATGACGATTACAAATAGGATGGTGGTAATGACAGTGATGATGATGAAATTGATGATGTTGGCGATGGTGATGGTGATGATGCTAATGAGAACGATGATGATCGTGATGATAAGCGTGATGATGATAATGATGATGATGATGATGATGATGCTGATGCTGATGCTGATGCTGATGATGATGGATATGGAGATGGCGATGTAAATGGAGATGATTGTGGTGGGTGGCGATGATGGTGATCATGACGAGGAGGGGGAGGAGGAGAAGGACAGACGACGGCCGTCACACGTGGTATACTTCGTCTTCACTTCTTGAGGAACTCTTGTGGGGCAGTCTTGGGGGTTCATTGAGGACCTTTTGGACCGTCTTGGAGCCGTTTTGGCCATCAGGGAGGATTCGTTATTAATGTTGAGGCGTTCTGGGGCCATGCTGGAAGCATCTCGGGCCGCCTTGAGCCGAGGGAAGGCCAAAACGGTGAACACGCCACAGTTATGTTGAAAACTAATGTCACTTGTAATTCGTTCTAGCCCTGTCGAGGCTCCTCTTGTGACCCTCTTGGGCCGTCTTAGGGACCCGTTGGGCCATCTTGAGGCCGTCTGGGGCTTTGTCGGGGACATCGTGTGCCAGTGTGAAGGCATCCTGGGCCATCTTGGCGGCGCTGGCGGCCTGCCCGGCTGTCTTGGAAACGAGTGAGCGCAGACCCGCTCTGTTCTTTTGGATTGGACCGCGGCTTCGGCAGCGCGGACCATTGTTCTTTACAAGGGGTCGTGGCCTCGGGCGTTCGGGCACATCGTTCTTTAAATCGGATCGCGGCCTCGAAAGCACGGACCAGTTGCATTTTGGAAGGGGGCGTGGCCTCGGGAGCGCGGGCCCATCGTTCTTTACAAGGGATCGTGGCCCAGGGAGAGCGGACCCATAGTTCTTGTGGGAGGAAGAGGGGTGGGCGATGCGTACCCCTGAGTGTGGGAAGAGGGGGGGGCGGTTTTACAAGATGTCATAATCCCATCCACGCAGCCCTTGGCAGCCTTCAACGCCTCAATGTGCCAAGGGGTACGGTGGCGGATTAGAAATTATCAGGTGACTTTGCAGGCAATATTGGGCCGCCTGTATAGCTTTGGTGGCCTTCCGGGGGCGTCGTGAAATTTGGGGAAAGCCTAGAAGAGCGCCTGAGATGCGCCATGGCGCCTGGGAAGTCTTGAAAGGTCGGGCGGCGCACGCAATCGGGTGCCACTTGGAAGGGGGGTCAAAGAACAATGCAGAACGTTTTACAAACAAAATCTGAACTCTACCACACCTCAACTTTCACGTGGGCGCGGTGGCGGGTCATGGGGTCTGTCTGAGAAGCAGCGCTATGCTTCAGCGCGTCTCTGCTGTATCGTTGCGTAGCTATTAAATTTACGTGTGGGCGGTTCTTGTAAGTTTTTTGGGACAATCGTGGGGCCGTCTGGGGCCATGTGGCCAGGCGTTCGAAACACATTGGAGGCGTCTTTTGGATCGGAGGGGGGGGACGATCTTTTTGCAAAATGGCGACCACACATTGCAACGCGTCAGCGGGGTGATATTTCTGGAAGCCAGAAGCGCCATGTTAGTATACGTGGTAGCAACAATCGGATGTGTTCCCAGAGTGACAGGCATAGACGCCATGGCGGTCGTTGCGTCTGGCATGGTACGACAGCGGCATGTACTGCAGCGGCAGCCGTTCGCCCAGATCGATACTTCGTTATATTCCTCCCCAGGTGTATGGTAGATTTGTCGGGCTAGCCCCACGTTCTGGCACGCAGGAAGTCATGTACGTTTCACGCGAAATGGCATGTTGAGTGTAGCAGCGTTTGTGTTGTCGTGATAGCTTGGTTTAGCAGGCGGACTGAACCACAGTATGATAAGAACTACCTGCCTGCCAGGATTATGATACATTGGCAGCTTGACCGTCATTCGATGGCTCGCAAAGGCCGTGCGAAAACCCAGGAGGTCGCAGTTGTCCGAATGCACATGTCTTGCACCACTTTGCGCTGTGACCAGTCAGTATGTGCGTTATATATGTACTTGTTGCGTGCTTGAACGTCGGCAAGTACCATAATAGTTGAGCAGTTTGCAGTGCTGCCCATTTGCATGGTGGTGTCGCACTGGTCGGGTGTCAAGGGGGCCGCAGTCCATGCTGCACCAGACACATGCGTCACATCACTCAGCCTGCAGAGCGGAAGTCACGGCGGGCCCCCCGGGGGGAATTCGCACTCAGATTCATTTGTTTTTTTTACAAGAGCAATGAGCAGCAGGAGGAGGAGGAGGAGGATGAGGAGGAGGAGGAGGAGAACATGAGGAGGAGGAGGAGGAGGAGGAGGAGGAGGAGGAAGGCGTTCCCAGGTGCTTCCAAGCGATCTCCACGAGCCACCTGGGCCCCAACCGAAGCGTTCTCCGCGCCCCCAAGCGCTCTCAAGCGCTCCAGGGCGTTCCCTGGCGCTCCCAAGCGCTTCCCAGTCGTTCCCGCGCGCTCCCAGGCTCTCCCAAGCGCTTCCAGGCGCACCCAGGCGGTCTCCAGGCTCCGCCGGTTGCGATGTCTTGGGGCCCTCTCAGGGCACTCATGGGGCCCTCATGGGCCCACCTCGGGGCCCGAAAAGCCCGTTGGAGCCCGCGGAGGCGAGAAGGCCAAACCGGCACAACAACGACTTGTTAGCCGGACGTTGTCTTACACGCCCGGCTTTTTCCAAAAAATGGTGTTGAGTTTGTGCGTGTCTTGTGTCTTCCCGCGGTGCGTGTCTCTGTCTGTCTCTCTCTCTTTTTCTTTCTTTCTTTCTTTCTCTCTCTTTCTCTCTCTCTCTCTCTTTTTTTGTTCTCTCTCTCTCTCTCCCTCCCCTTGCCCGCACCAACTTACCGCGAGGCTCTCGTTGCTGCGTGGGTTTGCCGAGGTCTCGCCTAGTGTGGCTTTCGGTCAGTGTCGGTTTAGTCCTCCGCACGGGTTGGCCACTCAAGGTCGTATTCGGACGTGTCCTCCATGAAGGAGTCGTCGTCGAGAGACTTTTCCCTTGGTGGGGTCTGGGGTAATGGGACGTCCGTCGCCACCGTCGCCGTGAGCGGTGGCGGTGGCATGTTGGTGTTCGGCGGGATCCCTGGTGAGGGTGGTACGTCGTGTGACGGCGGAAGGTGCCCTGCCGCTGAGTTGTGCATCCAGCCTTGATTCCGTTGTTGTTGCTGCTGCTGACGGGTGGATTGCATCGCCTGTTGGGCCTGCTGGTGTGCCACCGCTGCCATGTCGCCTTTGAAATGGCGGATGTAGGTGACGAGGTACGCCCCGCGGTCAGCGCAGGGCAGCCTGCTGAAGGCTGTGCGCTCGACAGCCCTGGCCAAGCGCGTGTTCTCCCGCGCCGTGAGACAGATGTCGCAGGCGTCGCGTTGACATCGGTATCAAATATGCTCGTCTTGGTTTCGCGTGACACGCAGTTGCGAGGCGTAGTTGGGGCACCGCAGGTCTTCCGACAGCCGTGCTAGACATTGGTTCGTCCAGTTTTGAAACGCCTCCTCCCTACCGTCCCACGGCGACCACAATTCGGCTGTACCTTGGATGCGGTCGAGGATGTCCTGGTGAAGGTGGTTAGCAAGTCGTTGTCTCATGCAGCTGCGGCATGTACGTAGTCAAGGACTGTGCATGTTTTCGAGGTTTCGCTTGTCATCAGGGTCCTCGATGGGGTCACCAGCTGGGCCAGCGTCCTTGCCAGGATCTTGGAAGGAGTCGTCGCTTTCTTCTTGGTCAGCCGCGCAGGCTGTGGGACCTGGCGTCCCTCGGCCCACTGGCCACCGCGTCCTTGCTCAGGAGGCGTTCGGGCAGCGAGCTGTCGGGACTGGTGTCCCTCGATACCCTTGCCGTCATTCCGTGCGAGAGCGTCGTCGGTGAGTTGGGTATGTGATAGCCGTTGTGCGTGACATCCATGAGTGCGCGCAGTGCTTAAACGGTGTTCATGCTTCGTCGCTCTGATGTTACGGGTCTGCCTAGATCCACATCGTCCTTGGCGTGGGACTGCGGCCGCTTCTGAAGCTGATGGACGTCCTAGGCCGTGGTAGCTGGTCACCCAGGCTTGCTGCTGCTGGCTGGTCCTGCTGGATCGCCGTCGCGTCGTGTAACCCAAACCCTGTATGGCGCATGCTGGTGCTGCTAATCGTCTCGTAGGCTGGTGGCTTGGACGTAGCAAAAGAAGCAGCGTGGTGCTGCGCGTCACCGATGCTGGCGAAAGAAATGGTATTGCCTCTCACCCTGTTCTGTACGAGGCCAGGGACGGCGGGAGTGTCGTTGAGCGTCGGGGCTGGTGTCCCTAGCCTCAAGATCTAGACCGCGCACGGCGAGCTGTGCGTGGACGCAGGCTTTCGTGAGGCCGCAGCACCTGATGACACTCATCGAGAGGCGGCGCCCCCTAGTGCGCGGCCTGCGGGGCAGGCGTCATTGAGCCAAATGCTGCGGTGCGGTGAGGTATCAGCAGGAACAAGCTAAGAAACGATTGAGGGGTCACGGATCGCGTGCGGGGTGTGCCAGCATATTCGGGGGCGACGCTGCCACTGGGGCCTTCGGTGGAGGTCCCTTGGGGCCACGAAGCGTGTGAAGGGTGTGCCGAAATTGTCGGGAGGCGGTATGCGAACGCTGCCACTAGGGCCTTCGGTGGAGGTCCCTTGGGGCCTCGAAACGTGTGAGGGATGGGCCGAAATTGTCGGGGGGCGGTATGCGAACCCTGCCACTGTGTCTTCGGAAGAGCTCCCTGGGGGCCACGAAACGTGTGAGGGGTGTGCCGACATGGTCGGGCTGGCGGTATGTGAACGCTGCACCTGGGGCCTTCGGAGGAGATCCCTGGGGGCCACGGAACGTGTGAGGAGTGCCGGCATATTCGCCGGCGGTATGCGAACGCTGCCATTGGGGCCTTCGGTGGAGGTCCCTGGGGGCCACGGAACGTTCGGCGGAGCTCCTTATGGTGGACCCGACGAGCAAGCGGTCCAGGGCGAAGGCCGAAGCTGAGAAGTGGAAGGCCTCACGCCCGCAGCCAGCCATTACGCCGTCGCCCCCGCAGTGGGGGCCCAGGCGCAAGCTGTCCATCAAGAGCCCCCCCCCTCTGCAGTATGCTCTGTGGGAAGAGGACGAGGGCGAGTTTTTCGTTGACGGCGAGGACACAGATGTTCCTGATAATGAGGTTGAGCAGGTGGCCGCCTCTGAGTCCGAACCCGACCTTGACACTTTTGCTCCTTTGCAGTGCGATTGGAACGATGACATGAAGAGCCTTCTGTGGCAGCAGGTGGCGCCCTCCAGGTCTTCGGTCGTTGTCCCTGAGTTTGTGCCCGAATCCCTGGCGTTCCGTGCAGCGGACGTGGAGGCGGAGGCCTTGGGAGCCATGTTTGCCGAGTGGGTCAGCACCATGGAATTGTAGTATGTGGAGTTGTATAAGGTGGACCCGCTGGCACGCAAGCAGCACCTTGGTCGGGCACAGATACGAGAACCCCGTCTTGGTGGGCATCAGGGGTCCAAGCACTACTTGACCACGTCGGACCCCAGTTCTAAGTAGTGGGCCTCTGTGGCTAACCTCGTGGGCGAGTTGGTGGGCCAGCTAGATGAGTTTCAGATGCCTCGTGCACAACACCTTCGGGGGCTACTCAAGGAGCTGGCTGGGGCGATTCCTTCTTCGCAGCTCGTGCCGCTCCCAACCCGTCGTCGAGACCGCTGGGTTCGAGGCCTTCGTTGCTTGGACCAGGCCACGCCTGAGTCCATCAGGAAGTTTGCAATCGGTGCAAGGGCTGCGCCGGACCAAGCGCAGCGTGCCGTCGCTCGTCAGCGCTACCAGGTTTTTCGAGATTGGGTTCACCAACAAGCTGCTTTGGGGTGCGGAGGCCTTCATCGGTTTGTTCGTGACGCCACGGCGGAGGTCAGCGAACTCAGGATCGACGGCCAGACCTCATGGGACGCCGCTTCGGTGATGGAGGCCAAGGCTCGCGTCTGGAGTAAGATGTGGTCGCCGTCGGACTTCGACGATGGCGCTGCCCTGCGCGTGCTGGACCAGGCGCGGCGCCTGGCCAAGGACGACCCGCTGGGGCCTCTCACCTTGGATCAGCTAGAGGAGGCCCTGCGGCATACTCCTCCTCGCAAGGCATGCGACGTCGAGTCGGTGGGGCAGAGGGGCGTCTGCTGGCTGCCTGAGGCGGGCCGTGGCCGTGGCCGCGGCCGTGGCATTGGCCGTGGCCGTTTAGCATTGTTCGCTCTGTTTCACGCCATCGAATCGCTGGTTGCATGGCCGCGGCAATGGCTGCCCGCCCTCATTGTTCTGTTGCGCAAACCTGATGTGCGTAAGGACCGTGCCATCGGATTGCTCACTTGGCTTGGTCGGCTGTGGAGTCGCATGAGGTTTCGACCCGCGGAGATGTGGGCTGCTGCTCGTTCTGGTCCTTGGGACGCCGCGGTTCGAGGCAACAGCGCTTTGCGGGAGGCCCTGCTCAGATGTTTTGCTGATGAAGCGGCGTTGTCGTCGCTTCTTCCCGATTTCTGTTCCGCTTCGATACGTTGGGATGTCGAGGCCTTCTATGATACAATTCGTTGGGAGCGGGCTGTCGCCCATGCCATCAAGTTGGACTTTCCGGCGCACTCCTTGGCCCTTGAAGCTATCCCCCACATGGGGCCCAGGCTGTTGCGGGACGAGGGGTGTTATGCTCCTCCGATCCTTCCTCACGGGGGCCTCGTTGCGGGTGCTCGCAGGGCCCCCGATTTCTCAAAGTGTCAGATGTTTCAGATATGCGAGCAGGCGTGTGCCAGTAGTTATTTGGTTTTCCTTCGCACGTGGATCGATGATGTCACCCAGCGTGCTGAGGGTCTCAAGCGCGATGTAATTCGCGAATTGGTCCATGCAGGCTCGGTTTGTGTTGCTGGCTGCTTTGAGGAGCGGCTACAGCTTGCCAGCAATTCCACCATCGTGGCTTCCGGGTTGTCCGTGGCGCGTGCAATCCAAGCT